AAAATAAGAAATACATAGATAGAATAAAGAGAATAGAAGAACTAGTTGGTGGCAGCAAGGTAGCTCCCAAGACAACTCCAAGCTCTCCCTCCTTTGCAGCTAGCTCTCTTCTCTCTTTGTGGTGAATCTAAATGTGTGTATGAGAGTAATGGATGAAGTGAATGTCTCTGTGTCCCCCCCTTGAATGAGCTACAACTCTCCATTTATGGACTGCCAATTCGTCCTCCCCTTAGCTGGTGTAGACAGCCCACCAGAAATCCTGGAAACTGCTCCTTAATTTGTGCAAACATGTTTCCCTATAATTAAGCATGCCTTGTTTTGCTCCTTGAGACTTCCAATGCTGAAATGCCTCCCTAATTTGCTCAACATGTCAGGTCTAAAGTCAGGTGTAGCTGAGGTGAGGCACTTGGCTCAAGGGAGGTGTGGAACACAAGGCTCATTAGCTGGCAGCTGCATATTAAAATCCGCCTGAGCATGGTTCAGTGTTTGACAGGCTAAGGACTCCAGATAGGTTCAATTGGGCTGAAAGTTGGATATGTTATACTAGACACCCATTGGAACGACTTCTATGAAGGATGTCTCCTCATCTGAGTTGTGTAAGTTGCTGAAATGAGGCTTGCAAGATGACCTACGAAGCTGGACTGACAAGGTGTGTGACCCAAATTGGGTCTGTCTTTAAGCTTATATTCCTCTTGTGCCAATCAGCCCTTAACATGCATGGATTGTATCAAATGTGATCTCTTGCTGCCTTAACCTGCAAAACACACAGACATAGGTAAGTGACTCAAAATAAAGAGAAACTAAACAAAATTACTAAGTAACGAAGGCATGCAAATGTGTGAAATTATGAACTTATCAAATACCCCCAAACTTAGATTTTGCTAGTCCTCGAGCAAAACAAAATAAAACTACAACTTTGGAAGCAGCTAGCCTTTCAAACAATATCCTCAAAGAATCACCAAAGTATATGGTTCCAAAGAAACACAACAATCACAATCTAAGTTCCACGCATGATTCAAGAGTGTGCAAAGCTTACAATGACATCCTTAAGTGTAGTGTGTGAATGCCAAATCAGAACAACACTGGCAACTCAAATAAGTACATGCGCACACACTTAGAGCACAATCAAAAATTTCAAACCCCATAAGCTCGTTATCAAATCAGCTCTCCACAGTAATACCATACAATACCAAGGATCAAAAGGACTTTACAATGGTTGTAATGAGGCTTAGGGTAGTGGTTGAATGAAAGAGGGGATATGGATATATAACAACATCTTGAGCACAACTAAAGCATAGGTAAGAGCATGAGAGATTACTGAACTTTAAACAAGCAAGGAACACATACATGAGCAGATTTTCAACATAATTTCAGCACTTCAAATGTGTTTATTTGGCCTAATTTTGTGGCTCTTTACCCTAGATCACCATGATCTCTCCTTATAACACCCTAGGGTTGTGACTACATTGGCCACACTTCATTACCTCTTTTGATTAGTTACCAATACCCCCAAACTTATTTCTTTTCAACACTTGGGTTATGGCACTAATGATTCACTTTTGCTCCAAAAACCTTGCATTCTTTATGATTCTCTTTTGAAGATAGCTTTAATTGCTCAAAGAATAGGTAAAGATAAGAAACAGAGATTTATTATGGTAGGAATGGTTTCCACAAAGAAAGGCTTAACGTAGTCTCAAATGGGTTGACTAGGGATGAATACATGTAGAGGGATGGTTAGAAAGGCTCAAACGATTTAAACATGGCCTAAATCACTTCCTAAGCATTGTATGGCAACAGCATGTCTCAAGAGATATTCAAATAAGTTCTAGAGTACGAAACCAAGATCATGAGATAAGTAGAATTGCATAACGTCTCCAAGTAGCAAGAAATTGAACTAACTTGGCAAAGTGCTCAATAGGTGCAAGGATGGCATGCAAGACAGAGTTCACTCAGAATCACACAAAGACCTTAAGCAAAGATTATCGATTTCTGCAAAACCATATTAAAGTTAAATCCAAGTCTTATCATAGGTGTTTGAAAGGATGGCAAAGCAACTCACAAAGTCCTGCGTAAACACTCAAAATTTTTAAAATTTGACAATAAAACAACAATAAATAAATCCTTCCCCCCAAACTTAAATGAAACATTGTCCTCAATGGTTAGAGTGTAAGAACAAGCAATGCCTCATAAATGAAAGGAAAGAAGATAAGGAAAAGACATAACCAAATGTTAAAGTTTAGAAAACAACTCCCCTTTGAAGTGATTAGGATGCAAGCAAGCATTTTGCACGTTCTATCTCTCCTCATCACCTTGGGTTGCCTCCCAAGGAGCGCTAAGTTTCATGTCTTCAGCCGGACATCCAAACTTGCAATAGCGAATGGGGGGGTTTGGGCTCAATTGACACCTCATGCACTGCAAGATTGTTCACCAAGCTTGTTTTCTTTTTCCATCGTTTCCTTGCTGCTTTCCTTTTCCTTTTTTGATTATGAATAGAATCATAAAGAACTAGAGCAATGATTGGAGCATCTCCAAATTTGGGCAGCACCTTCTTGTGTGTAGGAATTGTAGCATTGAATATGTGGGCAGCCCCCTGCTCCTCCTTGTCCACTCCTTGCAGCAAGCATGCTTCTAGTGAATGTGAAAGACCATCAAATCTCTCTTTCCCTGGATCGCCCAATACTTCAATTTGAAAACAATCTTGAACATCATTTGGCAGATTCATGGCATCAAACACTTTGAAAGCAACAGTTTCCCCATTAACGGTCATGGTGAGAGTGCCTTGTGCTACATCGATCTTGGTCTTAGCAGTAGCCATGAAGGGTCGGCTAAAGATAAGGGGCAATTCATTGTCAGGAATTGGTGCTTCTTCCATCTCCAAGACTAAGAAATCAGCTAGCAAGATTAACCTTCTACTTTGACCAACACATCTTCCAGAATCCCCTTAGGATATCAAATAGTTCTATCTGCCAATTGAATGCTCACAGATGTGGCTTGCAACTCACCTAGGTTAAGTTTCTCATAAACATGATATGGCATAAGGTTAATGGCACAGATGTGGCTTGCAACTCACCTAGGTTAAGTTTCTCATAAACATGATATGGCATAAGGTTAATGGATGCACCGAGATCAAGCAAAGCTTTTTGAATCTTGAAATCACCAACAATGCAAGGTATAGAAAACGAACCTAGATCCTTTAGCTTTGGAGGTAGCTTTCTTTGTAACACTGCACTTACCTCTTCACTCAATGCAACCTGTTCATGCTCTTTGAATCTCCTCTTGTTAGTGCAAAGATTCTTCAAAAAATTTGCATACTTTGGAATCTGAGCAATGGCATTGAGCAGTGGGATGTTGATTTGCACCTTCTTGAATGTTTCCATTATCTCATCCAAGCCTTGATCTTTCTTTGACTTTGATAATCTGCTGGGAAAGGGTGCAATAGGCCTAAAAGCTTTAGTTGAAATTGGAACTTGATTAGCATTAGATGATACCTTAGGGCCTGTGCTCCTTCCACAAGGATTAAGGGCTGTTTGGTGGAACCTGTGGGCTGCCCTTGTGGTGGCTGAATAATCTCCACATTTTCTCCATCTTCTTGCTCTTCATTGACATCTCCAACATTATTATCAACTTGTTTACCACTTCTCAAGATGTGCACTGCTTTAACTTGCTCATGATGCCTTGGATTCACCTCCGTTTGGCTCGGAAAAGTTCTGGATGCTCTGTTACTCAAGGAGGATGCAATCTGCCCAACTTGCACTTCTAGTTTGTTCATTGCATTTTGAATATTCTGGTTGGTTTGCATTTGTTGCCCCATGAACTTCTTGAACATGTCTTGCAATTCTCCCATTTGATCACCCCTTCACTCTTGCACTTGTTGGGGAGCTTGCTGGAATTGCCTTTGTTGTGTTTGGAATCCTGGGGGAGGTCCTTGAGATTGTTTCACATTTGAATTATTGCTCCACCTGAAATTAGGATGATTTCTCCACTTCGGATTGTATGTGTTTTAGTAAGGATCATTATTAGGATTCCTTCCTTGAAGGGCATTTGTTTGTTCTAGCATGTGCTCCGCAAAAGATTGGTCTTGAACTTCCACTTTGCTTCCTAGAGGGCCAGTCACTGCCTGTTGAAGCAAAGAACACATAACATCAAGTTTTGCAGCAATCTCATTATTAGTACTTACCTCAGAGACCACAGCTTTCATAGGAGCTCCTCTTCCTTTATTATAGCTCAATTGTTGAGAGTTAGCACTCAAAGATTCAAAGAGAGTAAAATCCTCATCTGCTGTTTTGTTCATCAGTCCTTCCCCACTTGTTGCATCTACCATCATCCTTTAGGAATCAAGCAAACCTTCATAGAAAGATTGCATTTGCATCCAACTCTCTATGTTGTGGTGTGGGCAAGAACTCATCATCTCCTTGTACCTCTGCCAGCATTCATGAAAAGCCTCATCTTAGGTGATAAGTAATTGCTTCAGGGAAAGCCAACCTCAACTCTCCGTTTGCCACAATCCGATCCAGACGAAGTTGGACATTAGCCACTCCATGCCACCTATTAGACCAAGTGAATTTCACTACAGGAAAACAGGCCTTCTGTGACCACATTTTACTTGGCCCTGAAAATTCCATCACATTTGACTTGTATAAGTGAGAAAATTTTGAAAGTCGTCACCTAAACGTCTTGAAGAGATGTAACAAAATTTTCGCTCCATGTTCGTCACGTTATAATTTTGGTGTCGTCACAAATTAAATAGCAGGAAATCTTGGCGCCCAATTTTTTTACCAAATGTGACGAATAATGCACATTCGTCACAGACCATGAAAGTGAGGCCCGAAAATTTTATTGGGTGAAGATTGGCAGCGTCACTTATGGCCCAAAAGAAAAAGAAAGAAAAGCTAAAGCTTCAGTCACTTGCTCATCAAAAAAAAAAAAAAGCTTCAGTCCCTTCATCGTCATCACTAGCTGCCCTCTCATCCACAAACCACCGGCGCCGACGACCGACGACGACCACTCCTCCTCTCTCTCTCTCTCTCTCTCTCTCTGTCTCTCTCTCTGTGTCTCCCTCTTCGGGTGACCCATTGTCTCCCACATTCAATCACCAACAAATTCTCATTTCAATCTATTCCCTCGATAATGACCACAGCTAATTAAGTCCTCCTTCCACTTGTAATCTCTCATCCCCTTGACCCCCACTCTAAAAAACCCACAGGTAAATAGAACTTTCTACATTGATTGTTAAATTGTTGATTGTTATTTCCCTGTTCAATCATTGATTATTATTTGATATCTATTCGTTGGCTTTTTCTGTATATTTGAGGTAAAATAGAAATTTCTTCTGGGTGTTGCAGTGCTCTTGGTCAATTTTGCTAGTTTTCGTTCTGTTCGAGGTAAGTTTCTTTTACTTTCTGGTTTGTGTTGTTTTGATTCATGCTTTAATTTGTAATCTGAACATGGCCAAATATGAGAAATTGTATTTTGACAATTTGATTATAACTTATTTTGACAATAACTTGTAGGTTTTGGTCTTTTTGTGTTCCAAATCATCCTATACCCATTTGTAGAAAGGCTTCTTGGTCCTCTCGCATTGGAGGGGTAAGTTTTCAGCTCCTGCTCCCTTTGCATTGTTGTAGCTTCTGCATTTTTTTTTTCATGATAAATGTGTTTTGATGTAATGCCTACTGACCTGTACTGTTCTTTACCTTTGTGGTTCTTTTTTTTTTCTAGCACATGATTCCCATATGCAGATTATCACAATATCTCTTCTGTGAAGTTACTCGTTTATAGCAACGTTATGAACCCTCTACCTGATGTTAAATATTGCATATGTGCTGAAGAATGTCTTATCTGTAAGTGCAGACATGACTTTATATCTCATTTCAACTAACACACTTGTATGCATCCTTGCGTTACAAAGACTTGGTGAACTAATATTCCACCATCATCTTGATACAAATCTCATTAACAACAAAACCAAACTACAAGTCTGTCATCTTAACTGAAAAAAGTAAAAAGAAAATGACTATATCTACTCCACAGCAGCTCACCGATTTGATAAAATAGGGGACCAATATGAATTGTCCTGATTATATTGTTAGTGACCAATTTCTCATCTTGACAATTGATTGAATTAATTCTACAATTGACTAGGACTTTTGTCATTTGTATTTTGACAATTTGACTTTTCTATGAATTTGGGCAAATTTTTTTCAGTACTTCATACTCTTATGTTCAATGACAGTGGTGTAGATTTTGGCTTATATATCTCAAGTATTCAATTTGATATTTGATAATGTTGTCATATTCAATTGGTTGTTGCCCTGGACTTTGCATTCACCATTTTTTGAATTAATTCTCTGTTTTTCTACTTAGAGAAATTAATAGTTAAGTTTATTAAAGTTCCATTTCAGATTTAATAATTTTGCTCCTTTCTTTCTTTTCTTAATTATAAACTTTCCCATGAAACAAATATATTTTCTGATACAAAAAATACAACAACAAAAAAAAAAAGGTTTGAAGCTTTGTTTTAAACCCAAAGGCAGAGAGACAGAGAGTTCATATATCTCTTTCCTCAACATCATCTACAGTTAGTCATAGGGTAATGCCATTCTAGCTTAAGCTGTCTCATGATTAAGTTTGAGGATTAACTAATGGCAATCGAGATTAAATTATCTTTGATATATCCTGGTGTTCACTGCTTACCAATTACATTGTTTCTTTCAAATAAAATGATATTTTTCTACACAACGTGTCATTACTACCCCCGTGTGTCACAACCCATGATAGGCTTGACTCACTCTAGGCAGATTACAAAGTAGCCCAACTCCATTTTCCCTTTTGAAACAGATTACAGCTGTGCCTTATAATGGTTAAAACTCAATTTTCTTTAAACCTACACTTCTATTCCAGTTGCGTGCTTTTAGCTTAATTGTCTACATTCAGTCACCATTTTTTTTTCTGTCATCTACTAACCTATTTGGACTCAAACATGAAATAGAAATAGAAAAGGAAAAGAGATGAAACAACCAAATCATATTCTAGCAATCACTATCAACAGACTTTCTATTTGTTTTGATGATGGTGATTTTGTCTCTTTGAATTTACATTTTGACTATGAATTGCAGAATACAATTTTGAATTTACCTTGGTGGCCTCGGGAACCCCTTGCACTGTGATCAAGGTTGACTTTTTACACAATCTACTGGTGGAACTCATGACGACGACGACGATGAATTGCAACTTGGCAATTATGATAATAGTGTAACAAGTGAAGGATATAGTGATTTAGATTGATGTTTTTGGTGAGCTTTTAGAGTAATAATGTTATGAATGTTATGTTTATTAGCACTGGGTATGCTTTTATTATAATATTATATCTGATATTAATTTTGTTCTAACTCTTATCATTTCATTTTATAGATGACAACTCCTGGGCAGCGAGGAAAGAGGGTGAAGAGAGTTAAGAGGTTGAGGGATCGCACCCCCCCTCCTCCAGGTGATGCACATGCATCACCACCACACCACCACCACCACCACCACCCCCACAGCCACCACCTGAAGAACCAGCATCTAGTAGCGCAGGTTATCTATTTTCTCTTTTTATTTATAATTTGGTTATTCTTACATTTTGAACCAATTCATAATAATGTTACATTTGTTTTTGGCTATACAGAGAGTTCCTATGACTTCTCTGGAAAAAAGCATAAGCGTGGTAAGTCATGTGGGAAAGGCCTCCATGATATTTTGGAGGCCAATGATGGAAAGAAAATGCCAGTTATCTTTGACTTGAAACACCAAGTCCCCAGTGATGATAAAGTGGGAGCTTTATTCAGTTCCGAAATAGGGAACATTGTTCGGACTAGTGCACCAGTATGCCACTTGGGATGGAAGAAGGTTTCAACTGATGATAAGGGGAAAATGCGGGACTCATTGACAGTGAGTTGAATATTCAACTAATATTTCTGTATTGGCAATGCAACTAATATTCCATTGTCAAACTTGGTTATTCCTTGTTCAAAAATGATAAAGAAAACTGAAAATCTAATTATACTTCTACAAGATAATTCTAAATAAAAATTCCATTATAGTGGTATTTTCTTATAAGGAAAACTGAAAACTGTTACTGTTGCACTTGTTTCTAAATGAAACACAATGCTGCATTCGAAATTAAACTAGAATATTCTTCCCTTCAATTGTTCTGCTCCATTATGTTGAGATACATATGAAAAACAGCTCGAAAACTAATGCATGGGATCAATCAAGTAATTTTAGTAATTATTGCTATGAGTTTCAAAGAAATGATTGCTTGGGAAATTCGAGATATCATACTTTTACAGAGATATAAAAAGGTTTCTACACTAATTTTTATGCATGTTTGATATAGGTATTGTTTGAGGTGGACTTATCACATCCGACCAGCACCAGCTCAGCACCAGCTCATGTCCAGACCAGCACCAGCTCTAGAGGTAGTAATGGTGTCCATTCTGATGATGACTATTATGATGAACTAGCAAACCAGAATCTTGATGAGAACTGATTTAGGGATTATATCCATATGGAACATACACTTGCTCTCTAGACTTACTTTTGGTTGTACAAAGTCTAGACTTAGTTTGGGATCTTTATTTTGGAACATACAATGTAATTACCTACTTTTATTAATGGAAATGCGATTATCTATTTTTATATTATACATTGAAAAAGATGAGAACAAAGAATTGTGATTGAATTTGCACATATTCTTCATAATTAGGTACCTTGGTATGGAACATGTGTGATACAGACCTCATCACAATCTGAAGAAATATGTGAGGCCAACATCGTCACAGATAAAAAGACATTTTATGTATACATCGTCACATACTACAAAATTATGTGACGTGTGCATCGTCACACATTAAAAAAATATGTGATGCGTGCGTCATCACACATTACATAAATATGTGACGCCTAAAGGGTCATGTATTATATAGGAAGGAGCATTTTATACCCAGTTTAGGAGAGGAATTACTTCTCACAGATGCCGCTAAACCGTGACCCAAATCACGCATCACTAATAGCTGTAGGAAGTGACAAACGGACGGCCACATAATCAAACGTATAGTGACGCGGTATGTGTCACAGATATCGGGTATATGTGACGAAGGAAGAAAGCGTCACGTGGGAGAATCGGTGACGGGGTATAGGTGACGAAAGCTGTGACGCTAAAATTGCGTCACATATACTCAACTGTGACGAAATTCCATGTTTCAGTGACGACTACCCCTCCTCACAAAAGGCATGTTTTCTTGTAGTGTTTTTAGCCTTGAAATCCAATAGATGACAAACCATAGTCGTCGAGTGCTTCCCTAAACTCCCTCATTTGCGAAAATGGTCGGAAACGGGGACCAGAGTACTCATGTGCTGCTATAATCTCATTAAAATCACCTCCTACCAACCAAGGCCCAGTTACTGACCCTACAATCCGATGCAGCAGGTCCCAAGAGTGACGTTGAAGCCTTGTTTCTGGATTACCATAGAACCCCGTAAACCTGATTGACTCTGTAGCCAAACCATTCACCATTGCATCAATATGCCCTAGGGAATACGAAATGATATTTACATCCACCCCCTGCTGCCAAAAGAGAGCTAATCCTTCTGACTTTCCATCTCTACTCACGCTAAAACACCCCACCACCCCTAATTTCCGTTGAATAACTTCCATCTAGCGCACTGTCTGTTTAGTTTCCGCTAAAAAAACAATACGGGGCTTTTTATCTCTAAGGAGAAATCTTAAAGCACGGAATGTTCGTCGATTTCCCAACCCACAAACATTCCAACATAGTATCGTCATTTCTCGTGATGGGCCCTATTTTCGGGACCCATCACGGTTTTATCAGCTTTGGTAATTCGACCTTCAAAATATCTTGCTCCATCAATGATTGACTCAACACTTCTCCTCGAGATATTACCCTTCGGGGAGTTAGCTTGAGGTCTTGTACCCCCCACTCGAAGAACATGACTTTGACCTGCTACACCTTGCCCCACCTGTTGCGAAGCCTTATTCACACTCAAACCTTTATTGGTATCTCCCAGCACCACTTGTTTCCCCTTATCTATTGTACCGAGCCTAGTGGCACCTTGAGTCTCTCTTGCTAAAACACCATCAACCGGCACCCGCTCCACACTGTTATTTTCCATGCCCCCAGTTTCCTTCAATGGGTTTACATCACTAAGCTGCTGTCCTGTAGACACTCTTCTCCTTTTAAATAAGCTCACCAAGGGCATATCCAACCCACTATCCGCATCCATTGCCACCCCACTCAAGCCATGCTCACTAAAAGCCTCCTCAAAAGATCTAACCGTCCCTAAAATCTTTGGATTAGTAGTCTTACCAAGATCACCGCGCTCTAGAACAACATCCATCAACCCAGAACTTTTCCCAATTAGACTGTTCTCCGCCTTAATACAGTAGACCTCCTTCATAACTGTTTTCCTTCTTCCATACTGTTCATACACGATGGCCCCTTATTGTTTTAAACTGCAGGAGGAGCCCGCATGATCAAGTGTGCCACAAAAAAGACAAAAAAAGGGAATCCTCTCGTACTCTATCTCATATTGTTTGGCCGGTTCATCCAGCGCAATTCTGAGTGTAACACACCGTTTCAAAGGCTCAGTAACATTAAGTCCCACTCTGATACGTAAAAAACTCCCCAGGCAATCCCTATTCAAACCTCAATCCACCATGACAAAATTCCCAAGATACTTCCCAATCCATTCCCCCATCGCTGGCGTTAAGAAAATAGGAGGAATACGTCGGACTCGCACCCAGAAATTCTGAGTATCCAAAGGGACCGACACAGGGTTGTTTGGGCTTAAATTTGGCACGCCCAGTTCAAAAGCAAAGGCCCACGTCATCTCTTCTAAAGTCGCTTATTTGGGCCCAAAATTGGCACCCTCAATCCATCAAACGCGCCCAGCCCGTTAACAAGTAAACAGGCCAAAACAATGAACTCGGCCCAAAACGTCGAAGGCCTGGAAACAGTGGAAATCAGAAAAGAGACTTGGGCCTCGAAAGAACTAGAATTGGGCTCAGAGCAAACTAAACCCAACTGGTCTTTTAAACAGTCCCACGTGATCCCTGACTTAGAAAAGTCAACAAAATCGACTGAAATAAAAGATTGGACAAGGGCAGGTATAAAAGAAGAACGTCTCTGAAAAAACTCAGTTGCCAGGAGATCAAATCCCGTTTTAATTATTCAAAAGATATTTCCTGTTCCAGAGAAAACACCATTTTCAAGGGATAAGCAGACTCTGCCTCTGTGAAAAGGGGATAAGCGGGAAACAGGGAGCTGTTCAAAAACTGAGAACTTACTATCTCAAACTTTCAGACTCTCAGAAAGCAGTTGAAATGGAAGAAGGGCATGGCACCCCATCAAAAGAAAACAGAGAAGTAGTCATTTCAGGAACTGATCGTTGAGTGTTTACTTGCCAGAAAATGGATGGAACCCCTGTTTATTTCAATTAAAAATTAAAAAAAGATCTTTTTACCTGCCGCCCACTCTCAAAGAACATTTCTTATATATACAAGAGAGGGTGAACAGAAAGAAAGGACAATCAATCAACACAACCAAAAAACCCAGTCAAAGGACAAACACTCAAATGATCACTTGATCACAAAAACTCCAAACTAAGTCCAGCAGACCTAGAGTTTGAAGCACTTCAATTCCAAATCTTCTCAACAAGCTTGCAGAATCATCATGTTTTCTCCCAGCAAAGACAGTTAGAATACTGTTTCGGATTTGAACCTCAGTTCACAAATCAACAATAACGAGATTTATCTCGTTACAAATTTGGTTCAGCAAAAGCCAAGACAAGCAGAGTTTGAGTTTTCTCAAAACGAAAACCTCAACAAATTTATGGAGAGCCCTGACTAAGCAGCACAGGTACCACGGTACACCTCCAGCTCAAGTCCAGCCACTTATGTCCCTTTCAAACTGGAGAAGTCCCATTTCTGTCCATCCAAAAGCCTCCCAGGGTTTTAAATGAATTAAAGCTCTGCCAAAATCAAGCTTTGGTATCGATTTGCAGCCGAAGTCCAACAGTTGAAGTTGTTTAACATCCAGTCTAGTCCAGAACAGAGGCAACTACCCAGCCAGAAATGGAAGTACAGCCCTCCTTTTGTCTTTGTATAGTTAGTTTTCCCTTTTTGAGTCTTGAAAAGGAGAGTTCTGGCTGGAATTAGTTCAGTCTGTTATCAGTTATTCTGGCCAGAACTACCGGTTTTATATTGAGGAAAATTGTAAAGTCCTTACCAGTCTAAGGCATAGAAAAGAACTTACTTGGGAGATATTCCTCACCCAAATTCACAATCGTTTGTTCAAAGTCAATAGCTTGGGGCGCAAGTTATTTTTACTCTCGAGTCTGTTAGATTTAAAAAAATTGCTAACGGTGGCACGCTCAACACATAAAGAAAGTTAATTTATTGACCAAACAATGGTCTTTGAATTAATGGGGAACTTTACCCTATCATTACCGGAAACAAATCTAAACGGGTAAACACATATGACTTTATTGAGAGTCCCAAAAACACCTTTAGGTCATGTTTTATGAGATAACTATATAGTGCTCAGGATACCACTTGAAGGAAATGTTCTATATTTTGAAAAAAATTATTAAGCCATAACCTAGATTAACCTTCTCCCTTTTGGTTTTCAAGAAGAAGCCTCACAAATGTGAGACCTCTAAGTTCACCACACCAAGGAAGTGATGGATGAGATGAGTGAATCCTTGAGAGGAGTTGATGCTAGTGAACTCTCTCAAAGGTGCCCGACCTTGGCTATGGAGGAGGAGAGCTTGATGGTTCTTTTCCTCTTCACACAAATAGCACAAAATCCTAACTCTTCTAAAGATGCAAAGTTTGTGTATATATAGCCCCACAAGAAGGAGACCTAAGTCTCCCTCTAGGTAAAACCTGCCCTAGGGTCTCTATTAGGCCTCTTGGGCTTATGTGGTCATCCTACTATGCCCACATATCTTAACTAGTCCAATGGGCCTTGAATCCGATTTTATAGTTTACGCTCAAACTACCCTTTTCCCGCATTCTCTTAATTAATTTAATTTCTATTAAATTAATAAGTTAATTCATCTTTACAGTCTTTAAGAATTTTACATGAAACTACACCGTCATATTCTCCTGTATCTAATGGCGTAGTAGAAAGAAAAAACCAAAATTACACTGATTTGCAAAGGTTGTAATAATTAATGTAGGTGCTCCTTCTGATCTTTGGGGTGAAGCAGTTTTAACTGCTTGATTTGTGTTGAATATGGTGCAATATAAGAAAACCAAAATTACACCTTTTGAGGTGTGGAAGGGCTATAAGCCTGTGGTGAAATTATTGCAAGCGCACAATTCGCACAAGTAATATAGAAATAAGTAGAGTGTCGTTCCCACGAAGACTGGAATTTCCTATTAACTACCAATTATGATTAATTCAAAAGTTTATTTGAACAGTTGATTAAGAAGATTGATTGATTTAAGTAAACTAATTGATTAAGAAGATTGATTGATTTAAGTAAACTAAAACAATTATGAAAAATAGCAATTTAATTAATGATGGAAAATCAAGTTGATGAGACACTAGAGCATCCAATTTCACCATAACCAATTCCACTTAATTAACCCTAATTACTATCCATGTTGACAGTTGGTTTCTCCTAATTCATTCAATATCCCCTCTCGGGCTCAACCAAAAGTATTCTTAATTAACAACCTATTCTCTCTCGAGCAAGGGATTTAGAAAACCAAGAACCCATTAAGTTCTATGAGAACCTACAGGAAAACTGCATGAGTCATGTTAGTCCCTCTCGGGCACTCATTCAAGTCATGGTATTTGTTACAAGAAGCAAACACCAAACATCTCCTCTTGGTCTCCGCTTGGATCATCAATTAAATAATAGCTAGATCTTTAAATCATTAAGAACAGTAACAAATACTCAACATGAGATAATAATAAGAAATTAATATAACTATAAAAATTAAGTATTCATGGTTAGGCTACATCGTAGCCCTAGAAAGGAAAATTAGTTCATGACAAAAGAAAAGATAAACAAGAGAATTGTTGTCATAAAATCGATTTGGCCGAGGGACTTGATCTTCGGAATCTCCACAAGAACACCTTCGAAAGCTCCTCAAGTAGAGCAGCAGCAAATTCTTGGCTGTCTCTGATGTTTCTCTGGGTGAATGAAAGTTGTATATGGGAAGATATGGTGGAAAAGATGACGGTCAAGAACCCCCGGCTTTTAGGTGAAAGGTTTATATTTATAGGCCACGGGAATCCTTTAAAAATAAGGAAGATAATATTTATTTAGAAAGGAAAGGAAAAAATAGGAATATTAGAAAAACCAAATCCTATTCTCAAAAGGAAATAACATGCGGCTTCAATTGAAAGAAGGAGCTTTGGGTTTTAAAGGAAAAATAGGAAAGAATGCTCAATGGTCCAGCCGATATCCACGCTTTGCTCCAAAAGTAGCTGATGATGGCAGCTCAATCAAAAAGGTAACCAGCAATTGTTTCACAATTGCAAAGCCAATCAGCTTTTAATGATGACAATAATGAATTCTCATGCATGTTGCTTTCTTTCCTTCCAGACCATCTGTTTATTTTGACATCTAACGTCTCAGCAATTGCTTAGAAGATGCGACCCACCATTTCTACAATATCAGCAATCAACGTTGGGTTCTTCTTCATGAGAAAGGCAACAATGTGATGGTAAGCTTCTCTAGCTCAATCTTTCTGGCGCTGGTCACTAAGACCAGTTGTGGATATAAATTGACACTTGCACAGATGCACTCCAGGTGTTTGATGAAATGGCACTCCAGGTGTTTGATGAAATGACAGAGTGAGTTCTTGAGATTTTGTTGAGATGATAATTCCACCCATTTTGATCCCCTTAAGCTTCCAAAATTATAGTTTTTGCTCCAAAGCCTTGCTAAGTATGATTTCCTACAAAATCTTCACCAAGCACATTAAACTAACCAATTTCACACGAAAACAATGCAAATAGAGATAGATTATATATGCAAAATATGAATCTATCAAAGTCGAACTTGGGATATTTTAAAGTATGGGGTTGTTAGCCTTTGTAAGATTAACTGACCCTATAAGGCCTAAATTGGGTGCTAAAGCTATTACTTGTGTGTTTTCTTGGATATCCTTTAAATTTTACAACCTATAGATTTCTTGATACGGAAAATAATGTTATTATTGAATCAGGTGATGTTATTTTTTTCCTGAAAGAAAATTTTCCTTTTAAATCTAAAAATAGTGGGGGTCAAACAAAATATTTTATCTGAGCCTAGTTTGTCTGTTCCTAGTTTACAAGTTGAAGAAAATATTGGGATTGAACCAAGAAGGAGTAAACAAGCTAGAGTTCAAAATGATTTTGGCTCATAATTTGTTTTTTAATGTTGGTGAAAATCCACTTCCTTACGAAACGCTTTGTCATCACAAGATGTAAATTTTTGGAAAGATGATGTGAATTAGTCCTGTGTTTCGGCCGGATCAGATTAGAAATGACCATTCCAATTCCAATCCAAAACCTTTCGGAATCCAATATTTACTTTCGATTCCGAAATTTTTTGAAATTTTCGGAATTTTCCAATTCCCAAGTTTTGAACTCTTCAGAACTTTTAAAGACCTTAACTCACAAATAAATATTTAGAGATTTAAATGCCAAACTAGGCATATTTAAAAAAATCTCACTTAATATTTATTTAGAAGCCCAAGTATGACTTTAAGAAGTAACCCAACTACACCTGTAGATAAAGTAGTTGGGGGTGAAGCTATTTATAAAAGAAAAAAACGGAAGGTTTTCTTTTTTGTCGATGTGGGACTGCTGCAACTACCTAGTACGGTCTCTTCTCTGGCTTGAATCTCAGTGTTGGCTTCTAGAGCAGGAAGTCCCATGCTATCACGTGGGCGAGATTTCTTCACACCATATGCATTAGCTTTCCTAGCAGCTCTCAATCTGAGATTGACTCAACTTCAAGAGCTCTCCCTTGGCACCTCTTTAGAGTCAATCCACACAATCTAAAGAAAACTACATACTTTTGACTGGGTATATAGTTTTCAGCATCATTGAAGAGGAGGCCATTGTCAACCCAAATCAATTGAATTTCCGAGGAAACTTATCCCCCAAATTATTCAAACTTTTTTCAAGGATGATTTTCAAACTTTTTTCAAGGATGATTGATAATGGTTGGTCAGTCATTTTTATCTCAATAAATTCATAAGGAAAAAAAAAAAGGGAAAGCAAACATCTTTGAAGGTGCAACAAAATGGTACTGAATGCTTGTTCTCTTTCACTTTTCGTACTTCTGATTTAGAGCCTCTTTTTCGTAGGATTGAGGACTCTACACCTTAATTTTTATTTTGTTACGAAAATATATAATGGAAGATGAAAAATTGAGTTTTGGTATTTGGTTGACAAATAATAGTATAATTCAATTGAGTGGTTAAATGATATCGGATTCAATTGATTTTTTTTGTAGAGATGATCTTTTTGAATAAATATCTACAAAATAGACGATTTGGGTTAGTAAAATACAATATGGAGTGGGCCATATAAGAGTGTCCCTTATTTGAGTGTCTATATATATATATATATACAACAATCTATACTATTCGTTCATTCTCAATCAAAGTAGTTTGTGCTTACAAGTTATATGTGTAAAGAGAGTTAAATTTGCATTCAATTTGTTAGTCTTGCTCTAGACAACTGGAATACTATAATTGTCAAGCTCAATGAATATATTTATCTTGTATGTAGTGTTTCATGTATAAAATAATTTTATAATTAAAAATTTAAATGAAGATAGTTTAAAAATTTTTAAAATATATACATACATACGTATAATGCAAAATGGAATAGTATGATACTCCCTACAGTTGCCACATATGTAGTATGTTTGGATATAGCAAGCACCCATATGCATTTTTGTTATATTCAAGCAAGTACATTTGCCAAAAATATATAGTCTTAAAGTTACGTACTACTATGTTTAGTATTTTTTTTTTTTTAGCAGAGTCTACTAAAATATAACAAATAAGAAATGAAAATATAGTACATTAAAAATAATGCAATTACAATTAGAAACTTGGAATTTTCAGGAAAAAATTGGAAAAATCGGATCGGAATGGGTTCGGAGAACTTCAGAATTTTTTCGGATCGGAATTGTGGAATTTTCGGCATTTATCGAAAATATCGGATTCGGCATTTTTGAATATTGGATTTATCGGAGTGGGATTTTTTTGGAAATATTTAGACCGGAATCGGTCGGAATCAGATTTTCCAATCCAACTTACACCCCTAATATGAATGATGAAATGGATTCACTAATTTCTAATAACACTTGAAAATTGGTGGATTTTCGACCAAGTTCTAAAACTGTTGGGTGCAAGTAGGTCTTGAGAAAGAAACTCAAACCAAATGGAAGTATTGATAAATTTAAAGCCATACTTGCTTTGACTTTAAAAAAATAGTTGATTTTGATGTCTTTTATACATTTTCTGCAGTTACTAGAATAACATCCATTAGATTGTTGATTGCTATTGCTTCAATTCTTGATTTGATTATTCATCAAATGAATGTGAAAACACTTTTTGAATGGATTAGTGCAAAGGTTTTCTTGAACCTGGCCAAGAACACAAAGTGTGTAAGTTATTAATGAAACAAAAAATTTGCTTACGAGCCACTTTGATATGAAAGATGTTGGTGAGGCTAATTTTATTTGGGTTATGAAAATTACAAGAATTTGTGATGGTGTTTTTCTTGATCAATCACACTATATTGAGAAAACTTTGAAAAAATATAATTGTAATTTTTTTTTTAATCAAGAAGAAGAATTTCATTGAACTTGCATCAAACTTACAAAAGAATCAATTGGCAAAACGGAGGGCTCAGAGTGGCCTCATTAAAACCTTTCCATATAAAACCCCCAAGGGAGGAAAATCCGGTCAAGGAAAAAGAGTACCATAGCACCTTCAAATAAACAACAGAGGAGAACAATTGATTACAAGCATGTATCTACTCCTTTGACTATAGTGTCCACTTATTTCCGATTGAAAATAAAAACGATGTGATAAATTAAAAGGAATATGCTAGCATAATTGGGAGATTGAGATATGCGGCTGATTGCACTCGACCTGACATGGCTTATACAGTTGGAGTACCTAGTAGATTTAGAGTAAGCGAGGTAAAGAGCATTGGCATGCCATAGAAAGAGTTTTGAAATATTTTCTTGGCACTAAAAATTATGGATTATTTTATAAAAAATACCCTAAAGTACTTGAAGGTTTTAGTGATGCTGACTGGAACACTTTGTCAGATAATTCTCTTTCCACTACTAGATATATTTTTACATTAGGTGGTTGTGCTATTTGTTGGAAATCAAAGAAACAAACAATTATTGTAATTCAATAATGGAAACTGAGCTCATTACTTTGGCTACAGCTATTGAAGAAGCAAATTGGTTGAGAGATTTATTGCATAAAATCCCACTTTGGGAGAAGCCAATACCACCTACTTTAATCATTTGTGATAGCACTGCTGCTATTGCATAGTAAATAACTGTTATTATAACAGTAAATCTAGAACCTATAAGAAGAAAACTCAGTATTGTAACCGAGACCTTGGCAACAAAAAAGGGTCTGAAATACATCAAAGGGGATGGGATTGAAGCCCATACAATCATGAGCCATGTATGAGGTTACCCTAGTTGGTGATTAAAGATCTTAAGAAATGAGTTCAATGAGCAAAACAAATCATATGATGGTTGTTAAACGATGAACTATTTGTTTGCTCATCCCTGTGGTTTAAGCGCATCAATCCTGTAACGTTGTTGGAGGTTGAGTTTATTTAAACTCTTAATAAATAATGTAGCTCGTATGAGTGGGATGTCATACTTACAAGAGCATCCTTGACAGATTTTATTTATATGAGTGCGAGATGAGGCCGCTCTCTCTTATTCTCAAATTACACTCATGAAAACCAGGATCAGCACAAGGCCGTAACATGCTAGCTATTGAAGCTCATTTCAACATTTGAATTATTATGTGTGAGCAGTAATTCTTATTTTCCCTTAAGCAGTTGTAGTTCAAGTCTGAGACCACTATCAACTCTAGAGTAGGAATTATTGTTTTACTAACGAAAATTCAATGCAAAGTCACACATTCATGATGCATAATGATTCGTCTTTGGATGGTATTTTCTATTTTTGTTTATTTTCCAATTTTTTTGGTACAATCAATTGGGGGAGGGGGGGCTTACAAAAATCTTCATTGGGTACCCAGAGGTTTCGAATCTCTACCCGCATGGGTTGTTTGTACAAACAGTGAGAGTGCTTGGGTAACTGGAACAACTTTAATGATACATAGGTCAGTATTAATTTTGAAAACACAAATGTTAGATGAGCAAAGGTTGGTTGAGTAGATGGAGCAGCTGCACTGAGGAGAGTGAAGAAGCTTATGGTGGCACTCAAGTGGGCTAACCTTTTTCCTTCCATGTGGGCCCGTTTGAGCTCAAGGGGTTCTATCGAGATCTATAAATTTGGAGACCTCTCCAGCAAGGCTTCATCATTTAGAGCATGAAATCAATGCCATTGGGGATGCTTTATTGGTCTTAGGCTGCATATTTGAGATCACCATGGTAGTTGAGTCCCAAATATAGACCCCATCGGGGATGGCCTAAGTTCCTGCTCACTACTAGTAAAATAGGGAACGATAAATCCCAAAATGGGGTCATTTCAATGGCTCGATCACATCCAATCCAACGAACCATAATAAGTGACACTCCAAGTGTCAATCAAATTATTAGATTTTATGAATCTGAGCACACCGTTATTCTTCTAACAACAAGGGGTAACTTTGGGTCGAAAAAGACCTACCACCGCTGTGCAGCCTAAGTTCCTATGCACTATTAGTACAACATGGAGCA